CCACCATTCCCATAGGAGTACAAGAGAAGTATCACGTCTTGTGCTATCCAACTCCATGGGAGTCAAAGAATGCACCAGGTCTAAATGAGCATCTTCTAGGTCCAAAAGCCTTCATACATGTTTCACATTCTTGCATTTAACAAACAAATCCCCCCCCTTTGTCAAGTCTTTTGCAAATTGGACAGATTGCATCGAGCTCTACCTTCTTTCTCCTTATATTCATCCTAAGTGGCAAACTGTTTCGGGCCAATCTCCAAATAAAAAATGAGCACCTTACTCGACATAGTTAGATTCCATAAATGGCTCCACATATCAGCTCCATGACCTGCACCTGAGGAAGATTCAACATCTCGACACATTCGAACATTCCTGAGTTTGATGCCAAGATGGTAAGCTGACTTGACAGAGAACCTCCCCTTTTGGATAAAAGTGTCAAGCAATATGGTCTTCCATGCCCCCATGAATTGGAATGACTAGAATATTTTTTACATCCTCCTCACAGAAAAGATCCAGAACAAGTTGTTCATCCCAAGTTTCTAGTATTGGGTCCATTAAGTCACTAACTTTTGTGATAACTGTGTTTCCTCGAGTATAACTCAGCTTCCTCGTTTCACCCCTCAGGGTCCAAGGGTGAAAGTGCAAGTAATCCCCAGGTAATTTTGCTAATTAATAACAACATATATGCCATTGTACTAATGCCTACTCAAAGATAGTTTTTAGGAAAGTTCAATGTTGGCATGGCAAGGAAATGTGGAGGTGGACCCCTCAAAATGCTATGGAAACATAATGGCAAAAGCCCCAAGACTCTTCCTTTTTGCTTAAGTGATCCAAGATCACATTGAGTCTATGGGAAAGAAAATACTATTAAAAGGGTATGAGGTTTTGCATGACTTAGTTGCTCAAAGTGCTTGAAGATATTGCTCCAAAAACCTTAGCCACTTTCCCACACTCCAATCTGTTCAAACCCTAAACATCAAACTCGGTCCCACCATTACACTTTCTTCCAGACCCGCCGTGTTCAGCCTAGATAGACCCACAATGAAACCCTAGAAATTCGGTAGAACCGAGATGACATTTGGTCCCACCGAAGTGCAGTTACCAAGTTTCTGTAACCCTTCAATTCCATCTTGTAATTACCGAGTTGGTTTGATCGGAACTATCGAAGCGAGTTCTTGCTTAGATAATCGCATATTGGTCTGTCCGAGTTGGTTCGTTCGGTCTCACCGAGATTCCTAAAGTTTGAATCTTTTACACAAGTCGGTCTCACCGAGATTCCTAAAGTTTGAATCTTTTACACAGGTCAGTCTCACCGAGATTATTTCTTTCGTGACACCGAGATGTGTCTAAAGGTTGTAACGGTTGGATCTTTGGTGAAGGCTATATATACCCCTCCACCCCCACTTACTCTCTAAGAGAGCCATTAGAATGAAAACACTTACACCATTCCTTTTCTGAGAGAGAACCACCTACTCATGTCTTGAGATCAAGGCATTCCAATCCAACCATTTGAACCTTGATTTCTAGCCTCCCCAAGTTGCTTTCCACTCCAATCCTTCTCCTACCCAAGCCAAATCTGTGAGAGAGTGATTTAGTGTTGAGGAGACTATCTTTTGAAGCACAAGAGCAAGTAGTTCATCATCAACAACAACAACTTTTACCTTTTGGAGAGTGATGTCTCCTAGATTGGTTAGGTGTCACTTGGGAGCCTCCAAGATCATGTGGAGTTGAACCAAGGAGTTTGTAGGGGCAAGGAGATCGCCTACTTTGTGAAGATCTACCCCGAGTGAGGCTACTCCTTTGTGGATGTAGCCATGGTGGAATAGACAAGGTTGCTTCTTCGTGGACCCTTCGTGGGTGGAGCCCTCCGTGGACTCGCGTGGCCGTTACCCTCTGTGGGTTGAAGTCTTCATCAACGTGGACGTACGATAGCACCACCTATTGGAACCACACAAAAATCACCGTGACTTCATTGCATTTGATTTCTCCAATCCCCCCTTTACGTTCATATGTAAAGTCTTTAATTTCCGCTGCACAACTCTTAAACTTGCATGTGTAGGGTGTTGCTTGACTTGGTAGATTTTGCTAAAACTTGCCCATGACTAAAATTGGGAAAATGATAAGTTTTGATTTTGTCAATTCATCTAGTCATACCCCCTCTAGACATACTTTCGATCCTACAAAGGGTCCTCCCATAATTTAACCTTTTTCACCTGAACCCACACGCCAAACTACTCCTTACTCGACAGAGTAATGCCTCGTAAAGCACTTCTCCGGATATATGAGATGACATCACTCACCACAACATCTATAACTGAACCATTTGGACAGTACCAAGCCTTGAGGACTCAAGCACATAGTGTATCTGGGGCGTCCAATAGCCACTGCCCTTAACGGGATAACATTGCCATGTTGACAACGTGTAGATTCTTGAACCCAAGGCCACCATCCTTCTTTGATTTTGTCATATCCTCCCAGCTTACCCATTGCATTTATTCATTTTATCTTGTTGACTCCTCCAATAGTGAGCAATCAGAGCATTGATCTCTTTGCATAATTTTTTAGTGAGATCAAACACGAAGTCGCATATGTCATAATCGCCCTAGCCACAACTTTTATCTAAACTTTCTTCACAACTTTTGACAAAAGCTTCTCCTTCGAACCCTGTATACACATCCAAATCCTCTGTTTGAGGTACTCAAACTCCTTACTCCTTTAAGCCCCAGTATGAACCGGCAAGCCCAAATACTGTTGATTATGATATTCAGCCTGAATACCAAGGCCAACAAGGAGTACACTTCTTTCACCCACTCGTACCTTTGCTAAACATCGCTGAAATTTTATCCTTATTTATCATTTGTCCAGACTGCTCCTCCTATAGTGCCAAATTTTATTGAAGTTTCGCTGCCCCTTGAGTAGTTGTCTTCATAATAAGTGAATCATCGACGAAAACAAGTGATTGATTTTCGGTGCATCTCCTCATCTGCCTTCTGTAGTAGCGCCGAGAAACCTTCGACACACATTATAAAAATATAAGGGATAATGGGTCTCCCTGTCGAAGGCCTTGCTCTGGGATAATCTCTCTAGACAACTTCTGGTTATCTCCACCTGATAACGCACTGATCGTACACACAGCATGATGTTGCTCACCCAGCCCCCCCCCCTGCGAAACCCATCCTGAGCATGACCCTTTCTAGAAAATCGCACTCAACACGATCGTACGCTTTACTCATGACGAGCTTTACTGCCACATTCCCAGCTTGCCCCCTTCTTTCTGTACATCATATGAATGGTTTTATAGGCCAACAACACAATCTGTAATCATTCTACCGGGACAAAAGCTGATTGCATTGGTGAAATGATATCTTCTAAGATCTCCTTCAAACGATTTGCCATCACCTTAGAGATTAACTTATACAACGCATCACAGAATAAGCCGGAACTCCGTCACACGCTCTGGATTTGTAACCTTCAGAATCAACACAGTCGTTGTTTCGTTCCAACCCGCCAGCATCGGTCCACCATTAAGGACAACAAGAACCTCTTCTTTCACTTGTGGACCCACCAGCTCCTAGAAGCGCTTATAAAATAACAATTTTGTGAATTAAGAGATGTTCAGATCTCAGTTCAACAACGGTTGCTCGTGTATTTAACATGTTTATGTTTTGGTTCATCATTCAAAAAATTATTAGGATCTATTAGAATCTTACTCCTCCCACAAGATACTAGTTAATAGTGTGGATGATCTTTTATTTGCGAGAAAACTTTTTGATCTATCCATCAAACATCATGAAAAACAGAAGTTTAGAGGATCTTGTTCCTTGAGTTCCTCCGGAGCAGTCAACTCCTCCCTAATAATAAGAGGAATTAAACCCCTGAATCTCTTACGAAATTCTTAGAACTAACCATACCAATACGATCATCGAAAGAGAAACAATTGTTCCATATCTCTTTCACTATAGGATGGAAATCTTCTTGTCCTGTCTCAGAGAGGTCAAATCAAAATTCCCTAATGAATCAAAACACACATGTTAAGAATCAACGTGTGATTGGATGATTAGGTGGATAGTGGTATCCTCAATCTATCGGAATTCAATGGAAGAAAACGTTCCCCTCGACTACGAGACGTCTACAGTGACTTCGTAAAATTTCAAGATGATATGCCGACTCAGTCTCTCGAAGGTGCTCATAAGGATGGGATGTGCATGTGTGCGTTAATACGAGTAAGTGTATGCACGTATATACGAGGGCTTGCGTCTGTATTGTGTTAAAAATAATCATGCAGTAAAAATGTTTTTTTTGCGAGGTGATGCAGAAAAAATGTTAAAATACACGAAATCGAACCTAACAGTACGAAATTTAATTGCACCATTCCTATTCCTAGCAAAATAATAAGGATCCAAATGCTGAGATACGCGAGATCAGACCCTAGCCCGAGGTGAATCTAGCGCTCGCAAAATGCCGAAAAGCTTTCGGATAACACAACGCGCATCGTCGCCAAGCCATGCCAGCGCCACGACTCGGATTGGCCCGTTCGCACGTCGCTTTGTCCAATCCCGTATAACTTTGCCCGACGCTCGACGCAACGGCAAAGCGACCACCGCCCCCCCACGTACGCCCAACGGAGGCGGAGGCCGAGGCCACGAACCACAAAACCAGGCCATCGCCCCCAACAACAAACGTGCGAAGCTACCAGAAAACAGAAGCAAGGACAAGCAAGTGGGCATTTGTTCCTCGTCGCCTCCGCTTTCCCAACCCCCACTGCCCCCCAGCCAAATCCGCCGCCCGATTCCGCTGCCGCGCCGCCGATCCCTCCCCCGTCCATGGCGATCGGGCCCGGCAGCCGGCTCCCCGACCTCCCATTCTCCCGATTCGGAATTTGATAAGGTTTAGCGGCCTCTCCGCCTCCCCGCAGCTCGATTGCTGATTTGGTCGGGGGAAGGGAATCTTCTGCGGCTGCTGCTTCTGCTGAATTGCTCTCCGGGAGGCGAGGGGAGGGGGGGATGGGGATGCTGTTCGTGGAGTACCTCCCGGGGCCCAAGGTGTTCAAGTGCAAGTTCTGCAGGGTTGACTCGGCGTCGCCGGACGACATCGTGTCCAAGGAGTTCCGTGGCCGCCACGGCCGCGCCTACCTCTTCGATAGCGTGTGAGCTGAGCCATCTCTCTCTCTCTCTTCGCCCTCCTCTATTTTCCCTGCTTTCCGCGTGTGGATCGTGCGATCATTGCAATGCCGCTGTTCTAGAAATGCTTTTCAGTTGCAGGCATTACTAGATAGTAGTAGCCAAGTCGTGCCGTGCAAGTTATATGCATTGCTGGTAACAACACTGATTTAAGTTCGTCATAGTTGCAAGATTATTGTTTTGTAGCAGTACTAGTAATGTTGTTTCCTTGAGGGGGTTTTGCTTCTGATTTTTGGGTGAAAAATCATGATTGTTATTAGTACTAATTACGCAGTACGCTGAATGCAAGAATGCGGTGATGGATCCGGTATGGTTATGTTTGATTTGAGCAGCATTGAATCTTCTGAATCATGATGAATATGAGTCAAATGAGTCTGGCACCCTATTTCGAAAGACAATAAGTGAGTTTGGTAATCAACCCGGGCAAAATTGTATGTATTGTTACAGACCTTATGGTCCACCTGGTGACCTATGTTGCTCTTAGGCTAGAGAGTTAAAATTTGGAGGCTAAGTAGCCTAAATTGCACATTTGATATCACTTGACTTACAAGATCATGCTTTACTGCCAATGGAGATATGCAACTCAATCTATGAAGTGAGAGAGCTTGATCAGGACCAGTTGTTTCTGAATATGAAAATGCTTCTTAGCCCATTTTCATCTTTATGTTGCTGACCAACTATCAAAAGTTAACTTCATGGAGAGCTCACATTTTGTGAATTCAATAGACCTGCTAATGAAGTATCCTTCACTTTCTTCGCCCCAAATACTGAGTTAATTTCAATAAATTATGTAATCAGGCAACAGTTCCATATTATCTAGGAAACATAGATGTCAAATAGAAAAGTATGGTTATTAACATTACATGAACTCTTTATCTAAACTGAATTAAGTATGAGTAATTGACCATTGAACATCTGAACTACCAAGCTTTTGCTAATTATTGTTGACATGTTAATCTGGGGTGAATGTGACATCCAGGGTGAATGTGAGCCTTGGTCCCAATGAGGATCGCCATCTTTTGACTGGATTGCATACAGTGAACGATATCTACTGTAGCTGCTGCCAACGACTCCTTGGCTGGAAATATGTAAGTTTTAGTTTACATTTTAGTTAATGAAAAATTCATTTAATACTGCTTATAGATTAGTTAAAGCATGTGAGTTTATCATACTGTTGAAATTAATTCATCTAAGAGAATAAGCATCCTAGCACTATCCTGTTATAGTGATGTTTGTAATATGAAACTAGGGTTCTTACTGGGGAAACTACTACCAGGAAGATAGCCATGTACTACATGGCTGCTAGTGATAGGATAGATTAGAGATTTGGGTGATTCACTGTGATTTCTGTTGATGCGTTGATCCTGTTCCCCACTGCCAACTCCCTTTATATATGGAGAGGCTGACACATCAAAGCCTAACAGTAGGTAGCTAATCAACTGAATTGCTAATTGGAATGAAGCAACTAAAACAGACATAATGCATATTCTTAGCTGGTTAGCTCTTCTTGGTGCCTTAGGTACGTCCCCTGTCACGGAAGCTAAGGCATGACCTTGCGTTTCTAGAGGAACACTTCATTCAGAATTCTCTTGGCTATTGAGTGCAGGGTATAGGTTGCGTAGTTGACAGAGACGGCCACATTTGGTGAAATTATTCTGAAACCTAAATGACACATCCACATATTTTATCTGCTGACTTTTTTGAGGGATCCGTAGATTTGTAGACTTGTTTATGGGCAACTAATTATAGGTCTTTCTATTTTGTAGAGTATCTTTTTATGTATCGATGCCTTATTTTTTTGTATAGCAAGTTCATAACAATGTTGTAGTTAAGACATAAATGTTGAATCCATGCCTTGCTCGTTAAAGGCCAGAAAGTAAAATTCTGTCGCTGTCAGTTCATCTAGGTTCTTATGGATTTTTTTTTACTTTTCTCCTGTTTTTTTTGTCATGTTTATGGAACTATATTTTTTCTTGATAGAAGCACATCCCAGTCCACCTGGTATTCATAGCGTGTCACTTAAGTCATGTTTGATGTCCTAGTTTGACTGCATTTTCCCTGGAATCATGAAGCATTAGCTTATCAGGATCTTGTTATCGTCTGGCTGCGGTTATACTAGTACAAAGGTTCCTCCAGGCTCCAGGGATGGGTTGTCTTTTCCCTTGAGCCTGACATTGACATATATGCCAGAGCAAGCCTGGTCATGGATGTTCAAACTTTTGGTGCAATTGGCATGAAATGAGAGCAGGAACAAATAAATACCTTCACATATCTTTTAGGTCCTGTTCGGAGCACAGTTTTCCCTTCCCTCTTAGGCCTCATTCGGTTTGGAGGATTTTTGTAGGAAATACAAAGGACCAAGGATTCTAGAGGAAAATTTCTTATAGATGCATTCGGTTTGTAGGAAACACATACTGAAATTCCTTTGGGATACTACTCATTTCCAGTATTTTTGGAGGAAACTATACATCCACTCAAAGCTCATTTTTTGCGTAGGAACGAGGCAAGACAAATCCTTAAAGCATCTCCAACAGTAGACCTAAAATAGGGCACCAAAAAGTGTTCGGAGTAAAATTTGGGGCACCAAAAGGTGATTTTTTGGGCACAAAAAATATGTCCATTTCCAACAGCTGCCCAAAAATAGGGACTCATCCAAACAAACATCCAAACCACTTGATCACATTGCATACTTCAAATACAAACTCCTAAACATTCGAAGTTTTAAACATGCAACTTAAACATCCGAACATTCAACTTAACATCCAAACATTCAAACACATAGTACTCCTACGGACACACTATGCACATACTACTCATCATCATCGTCAGGTTGTGTGTCCGATGGCGTTCCAAAACACCATGGTCTCCTCCTTAGAGGTATTGAACTCCTCACTCTGGTCGTCAAGCTCAACCTCGTCGTCAGACCCGAGCTTGATCACCCTGGAGGGGCTAGCCTCGCCCTCCTTGCGCTCCACCTTGCGCTCATTGTCCCTCTTTCAAAACCACTCCACCTCCGCCTGTACAAGATGTGGATTTTCCACGGCGAACCTCGCCATCGCCGCCTCATCACCCTCCCGGGTGTCCCGCTGCTCCAGGACAATGCGGGTGACCCTCTTCTCCTTGCGGGATACAATATTCACCGTCGGAGTGATGAACTTCGCCCCCTCCCGAGATTCAATTACCGGAAAGTTAAGCTTGCGACGTGGCCGGTCAAGCCTCCAACAGGCGATGTTGAACGCGCTCGTGGCTAGCTCCGCCACTCGAACTTGCCGAGCCAATGGCGCTGGCCGTCGCACTGCAGCTCGGCGCCGTAGTGGCCGGACTGCCGCAGCCGAACGTGTGCTCTTTGGCG